ATCTATAGATTTGTTATTTTTCAAAATGTTGTCCATAAGAAAATTAACATCTGCTGCTGAATTTTTCATTTATAGCTGCAAAATAGTCTGAAAATTTCATTAAATAAAATCAAATTAAAAATGTAAAAATTTATGAAAAGATATTATATGTGTATATTATCTATGCATAAATTTTTAAATGTATGTAACAAAATAGTATAAAATGCAAATTTTATGTGTAATAAAACTTATTAAATAGAATAATTTCTACTTATTATATAATGTAATTTTGTGTTATAGAAAATTTAAAAGTTTTATTCCATTATCATAAGATTAATAGATAATAAGTTTTAATATAATAATTAAAAGATAACTTTAAATAACGTGTTTTTCTTCTTTGATAAAATGAAAACAAATACATTTCTATATGTAAATATTTTATTATTACATTAGTTAATTCTTCATTTACAGTATAATCACTGATAAATGAATATTTTCATAAATAAAAAATTAAAAGAAATTCAGCTATATTATAAAGAAAAGATTAGATTAAATTATGGTTTTGCTACTTTAAGTTTTTAGGAAAAACAAAGGAATTTTTAAAATTTGATGTGCTTTAATATTAATAGCATAAATAATATTTTAATAACTTATTTAAGTAAAATTTAAAACTTTTATTGGAAATTCGAAAGTAGTTGATGTTCAACTATTTTTCTTTTGTTTTCTTTCAGGTTAAAAATAGCTTATTTTTAGCTTCATTGATTTTAGCATAAAAAATACAGGTAGTTACGGTAATTTGACTGAAAATACAGTTAATTCCAGAATGCTTAATCATAAAATTGATTTATAGTTAATTTAAAAGTTTAATAAATGAAATAAATATATGAAGAATCTTCATTTTGTTCTGAAGCAAAACTAACAATCCTAAAAGTATTTAATTTTCTTTTATTTAAAAATCAGAATTAAATAAAGATTACTACTGTTATTGGAAAAGATTTTATACATTTATCAAATACCAATTTATTGAAATTAAATTTTTTATTGTAATATACTTGTAAGTTCTACTTATCATTTATTCAGTTTTTTTTACATTGCAATTTTTAAGAAATGATTGCAATGTAAAAAGTTTAATAGGTAAAATTGTTCAAAAAATAATCATTTTACTTTATTTAGAAAAAAGAATGATAGCCTGTCTCTTTTTCTTATACCTTCTATCCCACATAAAACTATATAACTTTATTCAAAGTGTAACTGAGGTAAAACATGATACTTTATTCAATTAAAACTAGCTATTTGTGTAATGTAAGATTGTCACTTTGCCAATATCAAAACATTTTTCTAGAGACTTTAGCATTAAAACTTTTAATATAAATTCAATTAATATCCATTAAAGATATATTTTTAACCTGCTATATTCTTACCTTAGCATACAAGTTGTGCTAGATATCTGCATATTTTTAGAATGATTAAGGATGGTTTAAATGTTCCTTTCTTCTGTGCATTTATATAAAATGACAAAAAAATGCATTTTGAAACATAAATAAATATATAAACTGTTATTTTGAAATCAAAGGAAGTAAATTCTGGACTACTTATCTTGTATATGTACACAAACTGGAAAATGAATCAAGAACTTGAGAATAAGAAGTTGAAACATACTCTTGCTTTATTGAACAGAATATTGCATATTCTGCTGCAAGGATTATAGATTTGATTTGACAGCAGTCCAAGAAACAAGATGGATTGGACAGAATATGATTGAAAAGACAGACTACATTGTAAACTGTCATGCTAATAAAACATATTGAATGTACAGAATTCTAGTAAATTTGCAAAAGATGTGTTTTTAAACTATAGTATCATCTTTACACATATGTCTACTGAAAGTAAATAAAAAGATTAAAAATAATATTCTTTTTATGGAAACATGACAAAATTATATGATGATATCTGCATAATGATGATAAAATTGTGATTGGCAACTTGAATGTAAAGTGGAAAGACAGGGTAAATTCAGGCCAATAATTGAAAATCATAATCTGACAATAACTGAATCAGGTAAATAAACTTTGATATAGAACGTACAGTAATATAGCTACTGGCAGCATGTTCTTCTAATATAAGATTAAGTAAAGATCAGCAGATGGCAAGATCTATAAGTAAATTGACCATGTTTTAATAGATGTCAGACTTCAGTTTGATAGCTGTCAGAATATGTAGGCAAACATTAATTCTGATCATTACTTAATGATAGCCAGAATTAGGGAAGACATTTAATTAATTAAATGCAAAAAAAATTTGGAGAATGAACTGAGGAATTTAGTTGTGAGAACCTAAAAGATTTCAAGATAAAAAATACATATGCTAATCTGTTTAATAACAATCATATGGTAGCTATGAAAAGAAATGATAACTTTTTAGATGATAAATGGATCAGATTGAAAGATATTATGAATGATATTGCAAAAACTGTTTTAGGCAAGACAAACAGGTTAAGGCACAAAGTTAGTATGACAAGGTGACAAAAGATATTAATTCTTATATACTAGTGCTAATGAGGAAAGTCATACTGCCAGAAAATAAAAAAAGAAACTTTATTAACAAAACAAAAGGATATTTGAAGAGAATAAGTTTTGCAAATTTTAAAGTAGGTAATGAATACAAAGCATTTTATTGAAGTAAAAAGTATGTTGAAAAGACTTTAAAACCAGACTTAACAGTGTTCTTATCCTATAGAGAATATGTTAGTGTTAGAAATGTTAGTAGATATTGTAACGAACACAACACTGATATATAAAGGTTTTTTGTGGACAGTTATAGAGATTATCTTGAGTGACAAATAAGCAATTCTTGATAGATGGGTAAAATATTTTAATGGCCTGCTAAAAGAGGTCATTAAAATATCAGACATCTAGCCATACATTCTCTCTTTAGACCTTGAAGGGCCAGTGAAGCTAATATCCACTCTACTAGAAGTTGAAATATAACTGTACAGAAACTAAAGCAATAAACCATATAAAGACAGGACCTGACAAAGACAATAGAGTCTTGGGTTCAAGCAGAACTACTCAAAAATGCTGAACTAGAACTGATTAGTGCTACTGATGAGATTATCTCTAATATTTGGGACTCTGAATGGATGCCAGCTGAGTGTAATATGAGCATTGTAAGCACTATACATAAAACCAGTAGCCCAAGAAACTTCAAAAAAACTACGTAAAAGCAAATATTTTTATCAATAAAAATATTAACTTGTACTGGAACTAGAAAGAATTAATCAAAATTATCACCTTTTTAAATATTCCAGCAATATTTCAAAAGGTAATATTAAAAGGTAATAATATTTTTATCTATGTTGAATGGTCATTATCAGGCTAAAAGANTCGTTTTACTCTTTCCATCCAGTGAGTAACAAGAGGATCTTTTTCATACCCATCGCGGGTTCGACCCGGCCCACCAAAGGGCGACCGGATGGTGAGGGACGAAGCCCAATATTTGGGACAAATCGCCCATGAAAGATTCTTGGAGGACTGCCCTGGTTCGGTTCTGGGTTCCACAGAAAGAATGACTGACGCTCAGCCTTCTAGCCTTTTATATAGTTCAGTCAATGGCAGAAAAAGTAAAGATTTAATTTCTTTTCTTCAGTTAAGTATTATGACACTTATCACAAAATTAAATTAATTGTTAAACGTATAATAAAACTATTGGATTACCAAATTATATTTATGATGACTGATATATTTTAAAATATTCTATTTGAAAATTAATACGCGTATCTTTTTGCTTACTGCAATAAATTTAAAACTCGCTCGATAATTAAAGAATTTAGCATAATTTCTCTGTTGATTACTGTATTTCAGTAGCGATAGAATGAATTTTAATGCATTGTTATTACACTATCGATGAATCGAAGCGGGTCAAACTTGTATGAATAAAAAGAGATTTAATAATTGTTATTATTGCAATCTGTCAATTTTACGTTGTGCAATCAGGTTAAACAGTGCAAGGTAGTCACTGCATGCTTTTCTAACATCTTTCGCCACAAGGCCAATGATGTGTCCAGCCCTATTAAACGGCTGGACGCGCTATTAATCTTCAATATTAACGTTACGTTAACGTGATGAGTTTATTTTAATTCTATTTAGTTAGCTGAATTGTGCAAAATCGACATTTTTATTGGTCAAATTTTAAAATTTTAATTTATTTTTCTTACGATTTTTTATAACTGTATCTTTCAAATTATTAAATAAAATTAACAATTTTAACTAGATATTATAGAAAGTTATTGAATATTTAGTTTAAAATGTTACAAATTTATTAAAAATATATTATAGAACATATTTTAAGAACATGCTCGTATTTTATTTTAATTTTAAAAGTTGGGAATCTATTTATTATTTTTGATGTTTTTAAAAATAATCATTGAGAACAAATTTATTAATTGTAAATAGGCGCACACCTTTAGGATAGAAAAACGCACTGTTTTTTTAAATAGTATTTGAACAGGGCCATTATAATAAGAATACAATACATTGTCATGTCGTCACTGGAATGATTTTAAATAATAGTAGGATGCCGAGGCGATAAGTTAAAGGTATCAGACTGTTGGACTGATAGAACCAGAGTTTAAGTTCGGATCGACTCGGAAGTTTTTACAGATAGGCTGATCTGGATATGTTGGACCTGGTCACCCCTATTATGAGTGAGACCAAAACTACGGCGGGTATGATTAAAAGACCCTCTTTTAATTTTAACTCTTTATCGCCGTGGAAATAGTTAAAATTAATAAATAATAAATCGATAAAATCAAGAAAAAAGAATTAACAGAATTATAAATACAGTACTTGTTTAATAACATTTATATTAATGTGTTAAATAAAACTTAAATCTTGTAAAAGTCTTACAAAATTAAAATAAAATTTTATAAAATTAATGTACTGTATTTATATATACTACTAAAGTGAAATAAGCTAAGGAAATAGTTCTATGTTTTCGGAAAAATCATTTTGTCCAGAAGAGGGCGTTAAATAGTTCCGGCGGGAAGTTGCCAACGTGGTTGTCACGTGTCGTATCATCTGTTATTCTGAATCTCTATTGACATGGAATGCAAGTTGTTGTCTGACGGGTTGTGTGTGTTCCTTCCAGTCACGTACCAAATATGAAAGTCTGAAAATGCTCTTTAGACGGCGTAAGTTAACGTTATTGAAACTAGTACTGATCTTTTCTATTGTTATTTGTATATTATTTTGGTTATTACAAGTTCGTCGAAATGATTTGCAAAATGTCAATGAAAAGAACGAAGTACACGTGGTCGAATTTAAAAGTTCACAAAACGAAATCTCACACAATAATCACATTCAGGACAAGCGTGCTTCAGAGTTAAAGCAAAATATTCATAAAAGTGAATCTAATTTAGGTATCCTACAAACAAAATCTTCTCGTGACAAAAAAAATCAGATGAATATGGGTATTTTAAAACATCCGGAAGAAAAGCCAATCGTTTCTAACGCTGATGATATTATGAACGTTATTCCGGGTTTAGGTGAGAATGGTGTTGCTGTCCATTTGAGCAAAAAGGAGCAAAAGGAAGCTGATAAATTATTTAATCAAGCTGCATTTAATGTTTATCTAAGTAATAGAATTTCCTTGAATAGAAGTGTTCCAGATCCAAGGCATCCTATGTAAGTAATTATTTTTTCATTAAAATAAAATATTTATTTTAATGATATATTTATATATTTAATGATAATGATTAATAGATATTTTTTAATTTTCATTTCTAATAAAAAAATAAATAAAAACATACAATACCAAACAAATTTACTATTGAAAATAAGATATAATATAAAAAGTAAAAGATGTTTTGGATTTTCAATATCTACAAATTTCATTAATTTTAGGTTTGTTTATTATTATTATTATATTTAAGTTAATAGTTAAATGTATTCAATTTTTGATAAAGTTGCATCACTACTAGTATAAGAATTCTGTTTAATGGAGAGATCACAGTTGTAATTACCAAAAATGTAAAAGAATTGTAGGTCATTCTTAGCATTTCAATGACTGGTTTATTATTTATAGTCTGAAATAGCATATTGTAATTGAGCATAATCTTCTTATAGTGAGGACATAAATATGATGCAGTCATATGATAAGTTACATTTTGTAGAATTTAGGTTCAGTGGATTTTGAGATCCAAAGTTCAAAAACAACAAAGTTAAATGACTCTTTTCAGTTAAAATATAATACTTGTTAATATTACTAATTTTACTAGAAAAGAATCATTTTAACTATATCTAAATTTTACTAGTTAGCTTTTAAAGGTTATGAAACTGCAGAAATCATTTTATTTAAATTTTAATTTGTTTGGAAGTGTACTATAATAATATAAATTATTATTAAGTTTTTTTTTTTGCAAAATGTACTATAAAGTTTTATATTATAATGCATTTAAATTTTCAAATTGTACTGTCTTACAGATTTCAAATCAAAATTATAGAAAAGAAAAAGAAATTACAGAAAATCAAAGAATTATGAAATATTGATATTATTTCACAATTCTCCTTTTTCCATAATTTTATTTATTATTTAGTATCAGTTGTTTCTTAAGTTTTTATTTTAATGATACTTTTTTTATTGGATACATAATTAATTCACTTTTATTAATAATTTTTAACTGAAGTAAAAACTAATATTTACCACAACCTATTTAATATAAAAAGAAACACTTCCAACTACTTTTAATGATCATCTTCAACTTTATAATCATTTGAGTTTAATAATAAAGTCAAAAACATTTCAAATGTTACAGACACACATACTGTACAGCAGTGTTTCCCAACATGGGGCCCATGCCCCACAGTGGGGCAATTCGAAAATGGACTCATCCAGAGTTTAAGTTAACTGTATAGCTGCTATATATGTTAGGGGGCATAAGAATTTTAGAAAGGCTTAGGTGGAGCATAGCACAAAAAAGAAACACTGCTGTATAGGATACACACATTCACAAAAATTTATACGATCAAGCAAAGATTGATCATATAAGTTTTATATATTAAAAAATATAATATATAAAACTACTATAAATATTAAAGTTAAATAATCAAACATTTATTAAATATTTTAATGGAAATGTTTGATTTATAGTAATGATTATAGAAAATCAAAGCATTAGCCTATTCTTTTTTATTTTTTAGTGTGGTAACTAAACATTATACTGATGTTATATTGAAAATGCTTATGGGGAAAAACTAGTCATATAACATCTGTAAAGTTTCATAACAGGAGTTTAATAAATGATTGTATATTATCAATATTATTATCTTAACAATATACTTAAGATGTTTAAATAAAAATTAATTAATCATATGTTCAAATTGAACTAAAAATAAAATACAATATTGTTATTTTATTCTGAATGATGATTTCACTCTTTACACTTTTTTTATAATTTATAGTTTTGATATATATGCCTGTAATGAATTATTATATAACCTAAATCAGGTCAGAAAGGTAATTTTTGAATTTTTTAAATTAACCATTTAACAACTTTTTCATTAATTAATTTCAGATATTGCTGACACATATCATTGCCTATTGTTTGTCATAGAAAAAGAGAACACATTTCTCAAAATTTGAAAAGCTAGAAAATTATAGTTGATAAATGACTCAAATAAGAATAACCATCCAATAAAAAAAAATATTTAATTAAAATTTTGATGACCAACAATAAAAGATACCTTGATATCAAATATTTCAAGTTGAATCTATTACTGAAGGCCACATTTATATTTACAGGGATTTATAAAGGAACATATTATACTGTACTGATATAATTATTTTATTTATATATATAATATGATCCAAAACATTATGAACTATTTCTGTGAAATTCAATAAAGTATTTCATTTACTGATTAATTTTATGCAAATTGTATTGCAGAAATATATATTATTTTATGTAGTGTATTTATAGTCTAAAATTACTAACTTAAATTTTCACTTTGGAACTTTTTTCTTATCTGTTTATTAAAAAAATTCAGTTTGAAATATTTCAGAGTAATTAATTTATAATTGGTATTAATATAATGATAAAATTATTGTATATTAAAAATAATAAAATGCTTTCTGGCCAAACATAGCTAAAAACTAATTATTTTCAATCTAGAATTAAGCTAATAATAATTTTTAAAAATTAGCTTAAGTCTAGCTTAAAAATAATCTAATTTCTAGATGTGTTTGTCTATTGAAACCTATTAAACTTTTATTAGCTTTAACTCTTTAATATGTTTTAAAGGTACTTTTCTGTTAATGGGATACCAGTCGATATATACGATATATACAGTACTGAACGGTGTAAAGAAATGGCCATTTAATTATGTTAAAATACATTTCAATAGAAATAAACTTTAATAATATATGTGATGTCAAACTTTTGTAAACATAAAAGATGCAAAGCAGGTTAGGAATTTAACAAGTTTTAATTTTTTTGGTTTTGTTTTAATTGATCTTTGTGATTTTATTCAAGTTTTAATTATTTTGTGTTTTATTAAATCTACTTGACTTTTATTATTCTTGTGCTTTTCCATTATGTCAATAAGATGATACCATTAAGCGTCAGATTACAATTATAACTGGCGTCCCATTAACAGAAAAGTACTGTTTTAATAAAGAATTTTTTTAAATATGAGATTTATGTATACTGCTAATATTATTTCTTTACAAATCTTAAGTAATATTTATTTTCGACTTTAGAATTAATTTTATCTATTTAAAAAGTGATATTGGAGACTTTAAAATAATCTATAGATTTGTTATTTTTCAAAATGTTGTCCATAAGAAAATTAACATCTGCTGCTGAATTTTTCATTTATAGCTGCAAAATAGTCTGAAAATTTCATTAAATAAAATCAAATTAAAAATGTAAAAATTTATGAAAAGATATTATATGTGTATATTATCTATGCATAAATTTTTAAATGTATGTAACAAAATAGTATAAAATGCAAATTTTATGTGTAATAAAACTTATTAAATAGAATAATTTCTACTTATTATATAATGTAATTTTGTGTTATAGAAAATTTAAAAGTTTTATTCCATTATCATAAGATTAATAGATAATAAGTTTTAATATAATAATTAAAAGATAACTTTAAATAACGTGTTTTTCTTCTTTGATAAAATGAAAACAAATACATTTCTATATGTAAATATTTTATTATTACATTAGTTAATTCTTCATTTACAGTATAATCACTGATAAATGAATATTTTCATAAATAAAAAATTAAAAGAAATTCAGCTATATTATAAAGAAAAGATTAGATTAAATTATGGTTTTGCTACTTTAAGTTTTTAGGAAAAACAAAGGAATTTTTAAAATTTGATGTGCTTTAATATTAATAGCATAAATAATATTTTAATAACTTATTTAAGTAAAATTTAAAACTTTTATTGGAAATTCGAAAGTAGTTGATGTTCAACTATTTTTCTTTTGTTTTCTTTCAGGTTAAAAATAGCTTATTTTTAGCTTCATTGATTTTAGCATAAAAAATACAGGTAGTTACGGTAATTTGACTGAAAATACAGTTAATTCCAGAATGCTTAATCATAAAATTGATTTATAGTTAATTTAAAAGTTTAATAAATGAAATAAATATATGAAGAATCTTCATTTTGTTCTGAAGCAAAACTAACAATCCTAAAAGTATTTAATTTTCTTTTATTTAAAAATCAGAATTAAATAAAGATTACTACTGTTATTGGAAAAGATTTTATACATTTATCAAATACCAATTTATTGAAATTAAATTTTTTATTGTAATATACTTGTAAGTTCTACTTATCATTTATTCAGTTTTTTTTACATTGCAATTTTTAAGAAATGATTGCAATGTAAAAAGTTTAATAGGTAAAATTGTTCAAAAAATAATCATTTTACTTTATTTAGAAAAAAGAATGATAGCCTGTCTCTTTTTCTTATACCTTCTATCCCACATAAAACTATATAACTTTATTCAAAGTGTAACTGAGGTAAAACATGATACTTTATTCAATTAAAACTAGCTATTTGTGTAATGTAAGATTGTCACTTTGCCAATATCAAAACATTTTTCTAGAGACTTTAGCATTAAAACTTTTAATATAAATTCAATTAATATCCATTAAAGATATATTTTTAACCTGCTATATTCTTACCTTAGCATACAAGTTGTGCTAGATATCTGCATATTTTTAGAATGATTAAGGATGGTTTAAATGTTCCTTTCTTCTGTGCATTTATATAAAATGACAAAAAAATGCATTTTGAAACATAAATAAATATATAAACTGTTATTTTGAAATCAAAGGAAGTAAATTCTGGACTACTTATCTTGTATATGTACACAAACTGGAAAATGAATCAAGAACTTGAGAATAAGAAGTTGAAACATACTCTTGCTTTATTGAACAGAATATTGCATATTCTGCTGCAAGGATTATAGATTTGATTTGACAGCAGTCCAAGAAACAAGATGGATTGGACAGAATATGATTGAAAAGACAGACTACATTGTAAACTGTCATGCTAATAAAACATATTGAATGTACAGAATTCTAGTAAATTTGCAAAAGATGTGTTTTTAAACTATAGTATCATCTTTACACATATGTCTACTGAAAGTAAATAAAAAGATTA